ATATACACACACACACACACACACACACACACACACACACACACACATACATACATACATATATATATATATATGTGTGTATATATATAAAGCAATAAAACGAGAATTAAATAAAATAGTGCACCTTTCCTAGAAGGCCTTTGTGTTTGGAGAGCAGACCTCCACCGTTCTTCACCGCCACATCCAGAGTTCGTCGCTGAAGTTCCATGAGAGAGACGTTGAACTCAAACCTGTGTAGAACAAATATGGAACGTGGATTAATCAACAGCGGAAACAGTGTTCGTACAATAAAGATAAAAAACAACAGCCATGTAGACGGTTTAGACTCACGTCTGATCATAGTTTGGATTGAGTGTTTTCTTTAGCGTTGGAGTTTTCCTCCTGCCCGACCTCCGTTTGTCAGGAAGCAGGTAGAGGCGGACGTAAGGATCTGAGCCGTGATCCGTGAAAGCAATCAGGTTTCTGTGGGAGCAGTTTGTGAAAACTAAGATCTGATTTTTTTTTTTTTAAACGGTGTTTTGGACCAAAATGGTTCACTTCGATGGTTGTGGGCTGCTTCGTACCTGCAGGAGTGAACGACCACGATCAGTTTGTTCCTCTGCGAGCTGTGTCTGAGAGTTATCTGGACCTCACCCAGTGGGAAGAGGCTGGGACCCGATCCACTGCACAAACAAACACAACCTGTTTATTACCGGTGGGCTTCAAAGGTAAAATCCATCTAACAAACATTATTACTGGTATAACATGAGCGGTACACCAATGTCCCCGTCACTGTGGGTTTTAAAGAGTGAATGTTTGTAGCTTTTTAATTTAAGTGTTTTTCTGGACTGGAACTGAACAGGGAGTGCAAGTACCGTATTTTTCGGACTATAAGGCGCACTTAAAATCCTTTAATTTTCTCAAAAATCAACAGTGAGCCTTATAACCCAGTGCACCTTATGTATTAATCCTGGTTGTGCTTATTGTGAATGAGTTGAATAAAGTTTGACTTATCTGACTGTTTTGTTTCACTTAATGCGCCTTATAATCCGGTGCGTCTTATAGTCCGAAAAACAGGGTAAACCTTAATGTTTTTGGTGCAAGATACTCAAGGGAGTAGAAATAACTGGATGACAGGGCCAGTTATTTTTGTCGATTTGTCCAAGATGGGCAGTGACGAATCCTGGTGAGAGGAGGGAGTAATTTTATCCACCACCAGGCACAATGGCAGAGCCAGGGGGTGGCCAGTGGTGGCCTTGGCCATCATAGATTAATCTTTGGCCACCCCAATTATTTGAGGAAACTACTTTTAAGCAATATAAAAATTTGAAAACAGTTTTTTCAGATGGAAGGGGTGGTCAGTTTACATATATTTATGTAGGAGGCCATCCTGGGTTTTGACATGGCAACCTCATTTTCAACAGTGACCTTTCTTAAGCCTAGATTTAGCCACACACCAAATGGAAACTGGCAGGTTGCTTATTTCTTTAGTTATCCAGCACACAAGTTTACATACAAATATGGCAGCAGCCATCTTGGATTGTGACGTGACAATCTCCATCTTCTACCACTTTATATCCATATCCATTTAGTATCCATTGTAGGGTTACTGAGGCAACAGTTTCAGGAGAGTAACCCAGAGATCCCTCCCCCCAGCAGCACTTTCCAGTTCCTCCTGGGGGACCTTGAAGTGTTCCCAGGCCAGAGAAGGTACACAATCCCTCCAGCAACTTCTGGGTCTTCCCTGGGCCTCCTACCAGTGCAACCTAGGTAATTTTGGAAAGGAAGCTTTCTTACGCCTGGATGCAGCCGCACGCCAAAATGGAAGTTGGTACCTCACCTATTCTTCAATGATTTACTTATTATTTACAACATGCACGGACGGACAGATGGATGGACACATGGATGGTAATTCCAATTCAACAAAACAATTAAATGATGAGCTCTTCAGAGCTCAGTGTCACAAAATGATAAAAATGTCCTGCTGTATAAAATTCACTTTCCCACCACACAGAAGCTGCAGGATCCGTTCAGAAACGATCGCTGTTAAAAACTGACACTTACTTCTGCAGCTGCTGGATCCTCTGCTGCAGCTCCTGGGCAGCAAAGGGGTTGGAGATATCTGAAGCAATGCTGGGCGTCGGCTCCTTGCCTCCAGCCAGGTAAAGCTGGGAACCTGACATGTTCAGGTTAGACGTGCTCCTCCCAGTCTCTGACAACTTCTGACCTCCTCCTCCTCCTGATGCTGCTTCTTTTCCTTTACCACTCTGCCCCTGGGCTGCACTTCCTGGAGTCCTCACGGCCTCCTGCGCCTCCTTTTGGCGTTTGTGCACATCCTGAGCTGACGCAGAGGAGGGAACTTCGGGAACGGTGGAGGGAGATTTGGAGGCTTCTGATGAAACAGAAGATCGTGGGACTGCGTTGCTAGAACTGGACTTACGGACCTGCACGGAGGACGGGGTCGAGCTTGATGATGAGGTTGCGTCTTTCTCCAGACACAACACCTGAAATTACATAAAAGGTGACGTGAACATTACATTCCTCTTTGCTGGGAAATTTTTTCAGAGGTGTTTCAGTTTCGAGGGCCAAACTAAACATTTACTCAACACATCAGTAGCGCTGGTCATGGTTACTTTGAATATCGCCTACGTAATATCTGACAACAAGTACCCAGATGTCCCAAACACAACGTCGAGCACAATACAGCGCTGCAGTCGTGGTTTGCTCCGATTAAAAAAAAAGGCAGAAAAACGGTTTCAAAGAAACTTTGTTGCTACGGGACTTGCAATCCTGACGACCGACGTGCTAACAAGCCTCATACGTAATGTTTATGGTTCTTGTCATCTCCAAGGCTGATTACTCAGAAAGAGAAATGTGATCATTGGATCAGACTCTGTGGCCGAGTTGGCTTCAAATGGACAAATGTAAGCAGGATTACTTACATCTGTTCAAAAGCGTATATCCATCCATCCATCCATCCAGCCATCCATCCATCATATTTTACCTGCTTTTTCCTTTCGTGTCAGAAACTAGCAGGTCTTTTTCAACACTCTCGCACTAATCTGTCTCTTTAGACGCTTAATTCAACTCCTGTTTAGAACGCTTTCACTTTTAGTTAAAAAAAGTGTAAAAAGAGTAAAAGAACCAATCGCCAGCAGATAAAGTAAAGAAAAAGAAGAAAGAAGCGGCAGGCAAAACCATTCTTTATCCTGCCACCGAAAATCCGTACGCATCTTACATGAAATCTTCAGTCATCCGTGCTCTTTTTCATCGAGGCAAAAGAGCTCAAACCAGCAGACACCAGTAACTCCACACGTATCGTATTTTTCGCTCTATAAGTCACGTTTTTTTTTTTGCATAATTTACACGCCCTGCGACTTATTCAATTCAATTCAATTCAAAATACGCCGAAGCGACATATTTATGGATTTTTACCCATATTTATAAACTCATTTTTGGCTGAGATATGACCGTTTTCATTAATTCTGACTGAAAATATTGAACACTACCATTTTTCAGCCGCTAGAGGGCACCAGAGTAGTATGGCATGCCATTGTGTCATGTAATGAGTAAAATAATAAGTAAAAGTGGCTATAATGACAAATTCAAAAAAGTTCAAGACAAAAACAACTGGACTTTATTTATTATACGGCTGTACGGGGCGGCTGTGGCTGAGTGGTTAGAGCAGTCGTCCTCCAATGCAAGAGTTGGGGGTTCGAATCCACCAGCAGTTACATGCTGAAGTGTCCCTGGGCAAGACACTGAACCCCTCATTGCCTCTGATGTGTGTCCCATCAGTGTATGAATGTGATAAAGCTCTGATTAGTCTCTTTAGAATGATTTGTTCAATTATCTTTGTAGAGATCTAGTATAGAGCTGTTTGAATGGGTAAATGAGACACAGATTGTCGTGTAAAGCGCTTTGAGTATCTTGAAATAAGATAGAAAGGCGCTATATAAGTACAGTCCATTTACCATTTACCATACTTTATTGTTTTCGTCTTGAACTTTTTTGAATTTACCATGTCCTGGATGACTGAGAATCGTCACCAGCTATTAATGACACAGTCGGCTTGCCATAGTCGGCCACCTTCGTTCTGCTCGCTTGGAGCAACCGTCAAACCAGCTTCATTTTGTTGCGCCGCCCCAGTGAAATGCAGCTAATTTGACCATTAAAGTGCATTCATTAAGTAAAAGTTCAACTGAGACACACATTTACTATAATGTCGAGCAAACAAACGTTTTGGTGCTTTTCTTGTTAAATTTCGAAGAAACGCGCAGCGTTCCCGGGAGCACCGAGGCAGCAAATACTTTTGAAATGCAGCTGATCTGACTGTTAAAGTTTATTTATTAAGCTAACGTTAGACTGAGACACACCTTTACTATAAAGTCGAGCAAACAAATAATTGTATTAGGTGTTTATCTTGTTAAATTTTGGAGAAATGAACAGAGGCTCGTTCCTCTGCGTGTGCTCGGTTCAGCGATTCGGGTTTTGCAATGCAGCTGATTTGACAGTCAAAGTGCATTTACTAAGCAAAAGTTAGACTGAGACACAACTTTGTTATAATTTCAAGCAAACAAATAATTGTTTTTAAGTGTTAATCTTGTTAAAGTCTTGTTAAAATCCTCCCGCGCACGTTCCCGCAGCCGCCATTTGGCAGCCAATCGATTTGTGGCACAACACCGGCCCACATTTCCGGGTTGTCAGCGATGACGCGTAACAAACGCGACGCATCAGCGGTGTCGCATAATAGATGCGACTTATACAGCGAAGCAACATATTTATGGATTTTTCCTCTTTATTAGACATATTTTGAGTGATGCGACTTCTAGGGCGGAGCAACATGTACGGCGGAAAATACGGTAACTTTTTATTAACTCAGCCCAGTTGCTGCTAGTCCCATGCATTGTAGCCAACGTTTGATCGGTGCGCTATTGAATCCTTCAATATATTTCAAGTCGATTTTGGCCCCGGAAACATCGTTTTGTTTATTCTCGTGACGTCATCCCTGATCAACGCTATTCAATTTGGTTCCGTTTATTAATACAGCACCAATTCACAACAGAAGTCGTCTCAGGGCACCGTACAAAAACATTCACATATATTATAAAATACCAGCTATTAATTGTTACTTCTCCAAGGAAACCTGCAGATTAAAGCAAATCTTTGCTCCGTCGCTATCTCAAAATATGAGCAACACAGAGGTGACAGTGGAAAGAAACGACTCCCTTTTAACAGGAATAAAACCTCCGGAGGAACCGGGCTCAGGATGGACATTTATCTGCTTTAACTGGCTGAGGTTAGAGAAGACAGGAAAAAGGCACAGATAAATACAGAATGGCTGGACCAGTTTCTAAGGCCTAAAAAATACGACTAGAAATAAATGCAACACTGACACTGACTGAAAATAAAGGCAGCAGAATGTGACAGTCCAAGCCTATAGCAGCATAACTAAGGGAGAACTCAAGAACGTCTAGCAAGTTGTGTGAAACTTTAGTCTCAGGACAAACAGTTCAGGAACTTGTTCCTCAGATTATTGTTTTACCCGCAGAGCCATCTTCATCTTGAGGGTGCAGCTCGGTCCAGAGTTTTTGATGGGGAAGCGCTGGCTCAGAGTCATGTCTTCTGCCTCCAGCAGACGAGTCAGAGGCAGCGTTATCGTCCCTAACGAACACTCGTGCTTATGGTCCTTTACCTGAAGACGCAGGGATGAAAACAAAACGTTGAGCTGAGAGGATAATAAAAACTTAGTGCGGGTAAATTTTCCAGACTGAGTCAGGATCTCTCACATCAATCTCCAGCTCTTGGATCTTGGGGTTGTGGACGAGGAAGGTGAACGCTTCCTCCCAGATCGGTTCGTTGGTTTTATATTTGGTCTGAAAACAAAAAAGATCAATGAAGAGAAAAAGATCAAACCTCTGAAGACGTTTCATGGTTCCATGCATCCAACTGAATAAAGCAAGCAATGCAAATATGATCTCACCTTGCTATCAAAGGACTGGTGTCCCACTGTGAACTGGACGAACGGACTGGGTTCACTGGACACTTTTTTACCAGACTACAAGAAGAGAACAGGTTTCACAAACTGGAAATAATAATGTCCAGCTTTATATTAATCAGAAAACATTTAAACAAGCGTTTTCATGCAACAACTGAAACGTGATGTAATAAAAAGTTATGGTTAAAAAAAAAAATCATCTCCAAGTTGATTCGGACTCCTTTTTTCCATAATTGTTTAACTGAAATAAAACATCTGAAATAAACTTTAAACCCACAGGATGCAGTTTTTACGTGTAAATAAATAAATTGGAAACGAAGCTACAAGGTTTATTTAAAATGTGCATGTTGAGCTCATTAGGCGTCACCGATGAGCACTGGTAGCAACTACTCAGGACAAAAACACAGGAAAACATTTCCAACAGTTAAAAGTCCCCGTGACCCAGAAAGTGCGGAAGGAACACCAGATCAGTTTAAAAGAAGGGAATACGACCAACGGAGGCGAGTGTGAACGAATGACAACAATGCTGTTATAAACAACGCACATCGTTGGAGCCAGTTTTAATCAAACAACGTGAAGGAACTCACTCACTGGAGCTTGTTGTGCTGTTTCTAAATGATTAAACTTCCTTAAAACATCATCAAACTGATGATTCTTTGTCTGAATTGGCTGGTGAGTTTTGAGTATTTCAGGTTGCACATAAAACAAACAGTTTCTGGATGCATCTTGAACTGTTTGGTAAAAAGGATGTGGACACCATCACTGTGACCTCTGAAACCACCGCACAACAAACTCTTCCTGCAGCTACGCCGATAACTTTCAAACTTTGTCAGGTTGGAATGAAGGAAACCGACTAGTTTGGCACAACCTGGAAACTTTTGCTGAGGTACTTGCTTGTTCACTTAGGGTCACATGTGGAGACGTTTGAAGAGAACTTGTGTCTGTAATGACTGCGTAGTTCTGAATTAGCTGAAGTAAGTGAGATTAGTCAATCTTGACCTGGAGTTAATGTGTGAAGGATTCTTGTTTTAGATACAGTAGTCCCTCCTTTACCACGGGGGATCCGTACCCCGAAGCCCTGCGATAAGTGAAAAACCACGAAGTAGGAATAGTAATACAAGTAGTAAGTAGTAGCTTATATATATATATATATATATATATATATATATATATATATATATATATATACACAGTATATAGATAGAGGCGTTTTAAACCCTTCCCACACTCTTGCAAAATATTCTAAACAATGTTTCTAAACTCTAAACGCTATAGAAAAGCAGAGAGTGTCATGATTTCAGCTCCATGCCTCCGCTGCACTTTGCCACCTGCAAGCGCTCTCGGCCACGCCCACTTCTCCGCTCTGCACAGAGATCAGCTGATCAGCTGCAGGAGGAAGCTTATCCTGCAGTGTGAGCTGCACAAAGGTGCAGCAGGTGCTAAATAATTTAAAATAATTCATTTTAAAAAAGAATCCCATGCCCATCGTGCGGCTCATCCATCAATCAGCCAATTGTTTGTCATGTCCACTCTTATTTTGAAAAATCACGATAGAGCGAGTGCTCGACAAATGAACAGCGAAGTAGCGAGGGACTACTGTACTTAGCTTTGGAGTTTTCTTACTTTGGTTAAACAAATGCATTGAGGTAGCAAATCCTAACTTTAAGTGAAAGTAAATGGCCCATGTTAATAATTACATCACATTTTTCTGTAAATCCAAACTTTCAAGACTTTAACCACCTCGTTGGCCCCATCTTTTGAACAGTTCTGTGTGAATATTACCACCATGCTTTAAACTTCTTAAACTTTAATGAGAAGACAAAAGTCATGTGGTTTCCACCTAATGGCACAATCAAGAACCACTGTATCGGCCTTTCCTCTCTAGCCCCATTAGGTAAACAGGTTGTCATTAATCTGGGAGTGAAAATGGACCCTTCCATGAAACTATACAGTCATGTAAACATGATTGTTAAATCCTGTTTTTTTTCAGTTGAGGCAACTCTAAACTGAAGTCCATACTGTCTAAAAGTAATCATGAGACAATAATCCATGCTTTCATTAACATCCAGTCTTGATTACTGCAATGTGCTTCTGTTTGGAATCAGTCAGACTTCCATTGCACGAACTGGTTTAAAATACTGCAGCCCGATTCTTAACCGGTACAGGTACAAGAGAGCACATTTTCCCCGTTCTGACCTCCCTTCACTGGCTCCCAGTTCACTTTCGAATTCATTTTAAAATCCTTCTGTATGTTTTTAAATCTCTGAACAGTTCTGCCCCCTCTTATCTCACTGATCTGCTGCAGCCATATCTCCCACAGCGCTCTCTCAGATCAACAGACCAGATGTTTTTATTGGTTCCAGGCACTCGTTTTAAGCTCAGAGGTCACAGGACCTTCTCTGTTGCAGGTCCAAGATTGTGGAATGAGTTACCACTGCATGTCAGGCAGGCTCCCACTCACTGTTTTTAAGTCTCGTTTAAAAACTCACTTTTATTCCCTGGCTTTTGACAATGTGTGAGTTGATTTTAACTTGCTGTATTCTATAATATTATGCCATTTTGTTCTTATCTTTACCTCTGTGGATCTATGCATTTTATCCCGTGTCCTTCGCTTGCTTTGTTTTTGCTGTACATCACTTTGGTTGACCTTGTTGCTGTTTTAAGTGCTTTATAAATAAAGTGGTATTGTTTGGTTTTAAATTATACTTACACATATATTATCCTGCATTAGGAAACCTGCTATATAAGGTCCATTTATCCTGGTTATGAGAAACTTGCATATTCTACTCTGGAAAAAAACAAATTATGTGGCATAAAAATGCCTTACTCCTGTATTGCTAGCTATTCTCCAAGTCAGTAGTTTAAAACTTTAATACTCACTCAAACCTCTTCTATGTTTAGTTTTCTTCTAATAATTTACTAAATAACTATTAACAAACCTTTCCTTGAGAAAGCTGACACTGAGACATGTAAACTTATTATTTGTGGCTACATGAAAGTAAATTATTTTAACCAGGTGGTTGTAAAGGTTGGTGCACAGGTTAGTGTCCACATCCTCCTGTCATATATTGAGAGCTGAGTGTTCATGTCCGAGTGTTTTCTGTGCGTTCCCCCTCGGTGTCTGGGCTGCATGAGTGTACTTTGTTACCGTGCTGTTACCTTGATGGCCTTAGTGACAGAGGCCTTCTTCAGCCCCGCTTGGTTGAACTCTAACGGATTGCGCTTTGATTTTTTCCCCCGTGACAAGGCAGGAGAGAGCAACACACAAACAGACACACCAGGGGGTTATTTGGGCAAGAGAAGAGCATGCAGGAAGGAGGACCGGTTGACGACAACGCGCCCGCACCACCAAAGGACCAGGATGAACCACAAGGAGTGAGACAGACAGAGACAACATGGATGATCACATGGTTAATGTCACTCCCCATGAAATGAGATTACAGACAGAGCTCAAACAAACGCCACGTTCAGCCTGAGATGTTGAGATATTTCAGATTTAAATCCAATTTAGGGATTCAGAAGATATGGTTCTCAAACTGTGGTACTGGAGCTCCGTCTAGTGGTACGCAGAAGATTTTACAAGTTTGGCTAACGGCTCAAGGCTTCTACAAGTTTGCACATACACAAACCAAGTGACTGGGTTTTGATCTAGAGGTTTATTGTTGCACAGTCAACACAGAACTCGGAGCTGCGGGAAGTCGCCTGCAGACGGATCTGGTGGATCTTTTGTAACCATAAAACAGCTGATGCTCAAATAGACCCAAAAACCAAGCAGGTGCATTTACCGTTCCTGACAAACTGAAATAAGGCTTGGTCGTAGTACCTTCAAAACGTTCAGAAATGTTGCTTGCATTCAGTTACTTTTCTGTTTTTCAGATTGTGTTGCTGATGTTTTGCAATTGTTTATTATCTGGGTGTCCAAATACGTCTTTAAAAAGTCTTCAGTTGATCCAAAATGCTGCTGCCAGAGTCTTAACTGGAGTTAGTGGGAGAGATCATATCTCTCCAGTTTTAGCTTCTCTCCATTGACTCCCTGTCAAGTCCAGAAGTGAATTGAAAATTTTATTTCTCACCTACAAAGCTCTCAACAACCTAGCTCCATCTTGTATTTGAGATCTTATTGTTCCATGTTTTTCTAACAGAGCACTTCGCTCTCAGACTGCAGGTTTACTTGTGGTTCCTAGAGTTTCCAAAAGCAAAATGGGAGGAAGATCTTTCAGTTCTCAGGCTCCTCTCTTGTGGAACCAACTTCCAGTTTCTGTCCAGTTTTAAGACTGGGCTTAAGACTCTCCTTTTTGACAAATCCTATAGTTAGGGTTGGCTTTGGTTTCCTGAGCTATCCCTTAATTATGCTGCTATAGGCTTAGACCGCATGAGGATAAACTGACCACATTTGGTTACTGACACTCTGCCGCTGCCTTTATTTACTCCGTTTTGTATTTCGACCGGTTTGTATTTGTAATTATTTCTCTCCTTGACGTGTGTTTTTTGTCTTTCCTCCTACAGAAAGCACATCTGGACCCGCCATTCTGTGTTAGTTTGTTCCTCATTCCTGTTCCTCAAACGCAGCCAGTCAAAGCAGATGGCCACTTGTCCTGAGCCTGGTTCTGCTGGAGGGTTTTACTTGTTAAAAGGGAGTTTTTCCTTTCCACTGTTGCCACTGTTCTTGCTCAGGATGGGAGACTGCGACGAAGTGAAGATTCATCGAGTCTGCTGGCTTCCTTAACTTTACGAATTGCTTTTCTATGTATGTGACTGTTTCTTGTTCAGTGCCCTGACACAACTTCTGTTGTGATTAGGCGCTATATAAATAAACTGAATTGAATTGAATAGATGTGTAGATTTTGAAAAGACTGGTCATAACAAATAAATTTGAGAGCTAAACATCAAAGTCAATGCTCAATAATCCAGTAAAAAAAAATAATCCACCATAGTTGTCCGGTCCTCTGGATGGTTTCTTTTTTGGTTGAAATGTTTCATCTGTCATCCAAAGGACTTCATCAGTCCGAGGAGCAGCAACAAACTCAGTCCCATAAGTGGCTTCCTCATAGTGGGCCAACCAGTTTGAGATGGTTTCTGGAGTCCACCCTCTCCCCTGTCGACTCTTCTGAGGCAGCCAATTCCCAAGTGGTTCAAAACATCAAAGTTCATGCGCAATAATCAAATTTGAGAGCCAAACCGTTTGAGAACCACTCATCTAGAACATTTATAAAATGCAATTTTTCTATTTTTACCAGTATTTTGTCGTTTCAATTTATCAGCCAGAAGACATTGTTTGAACTCTCGTTACATTACTGCAGCACAGGATGAGTGTCAGAACAATCCAAACAGAACGGGGACAACTGGACATCTAATAAAAACAAGCTCAAATTGTTAGATTTTGTAGTTTTAAATGGAAAAAGCATAATATTTCAGAAGAAACACTGATGTATGTTTGTTGATGTACAACAAATTGTGTTGAAAGCAACACGAGTGCAAAATGAGGCGTCGTTTCCAAGTTTCAGGGCTTTAAAAAAAATAAGAATTTACAAAGTTTAGTGTGTAGCCATCAACTTCATCAGTTTTAGTTGTCAAACTTTGTTAATAACGTCAGGAAACGTCGCTAATGTCCTAATTATTAGGTTAAATCACAGAATCCCAACGTTTGTTGATAAGCTGAATTAAGCCCAATGTAGCATCCATGTTTGGGATGTATTTGCATCTCTGTGTATGTCAAACTGTGGACATTCAGAGAGATTAAACTTGGTTTGCAGGACAGAGAGAACCTGAACACACAACAAGCTAAAACCAAACATGGACTGTGAAAGATGGACAGAAGCTCCAGGTCTGAAATGAAGCCGTGCAGAGGCATCTCAAATCAGAGAAACCTCTGATGAGCTCCGAGGGGAAACACCTCGCTGTCCAATAAAAGACTGAAACGCTGAACTCGTGTCCATCTATTATTACAGCTTGTGGTTAAAAACAGGAAGGATGAATTCACCCCCACTGCTCCAAAGAGTTCAGCTAACTCAAAACGCATCCTTCCTCCAGAATTTAAATTTCACATTTCATACATTTGTAGTTTTAAAACTCAAGATGTTGCGGAAAATCATTGTTTGTATTGTTCATTTAGAGTTTTAATTTAGGTTACCATAATGTTAAATAAAATGTAAAGGTGGATGAAACAAGGCATTTTTTAAATATAATTCCAGTTCTTTGATTGCTAAAGTTTAAAGCCTAAAGTCAAGATGATTAATTAAAACATATATTTTAATTGTAGCCTTGTAATCGTAGAAGAAAAAAAACTATTCATTGCAGTTTTATTAAAAAGTGGTGAGTTAAATCAGACTAAAGCTACATTTGCATTGTCATATTTTAGTAAGTTTCAATATATACAGTAGTCCCTCGCTACTTCGCGGTTCGTTTATCGCAGATTAGCTCTATCGCGGTTTTTCAAAATAAGAGTGGACATGACACACAATTGGCTGATTGATGGATGAGCCGCACGATCGGAATGAAATTTTTATTTTAAATGAATTATTTTAAATTATTTAGCTGCAGTGTGCAGCCCTTACTGCAGGATAAGCTTCCTCTGCAGCTGATCAGCTGATCTCTGTGCAGAGCGGAGAAGTGGGCGTGGTCTAGAGTGCTTGCAGGTGGCTGAGATGAAATCATGCTCTTTTAGAGCATTTAGAGTTTAGAAACATTTAGAATATTGCAAGAGTGTGGGAAGGGTTTAAAATGCCTTAATATATTTATATATAAATACTAAAATAAACTACTACTTTTACTACTATCTTTACTTCACGGTTTTTCACTTATCGCGGGGCTGCAGGGTACAGATCCCCTGCGATAAACGAGGGACTACTGTAATTCTATACAAAGAAAAATGCAAAAATTAGACATTTTTTTACTCAAAACATGAGAAACTGCTGCAAGATCAAACAGCTTGGGTGATAAATTTAATTTGGTTTAAGATGCTGCATGAAGCTTTTTATAAATAAAAACATATTTTAATCATTTAAAGCAAAATGCATAAAACTGCCAAAGCATAATTTCTGTTGGCATTTTAACAGGAAAACATGTCTTTGAGAAGAATGAGCCATAAACAACTAATAAATAAACAAATTCAGAAAACTAGATACAAGGTGAAGGTTACATCACTCACAATGTGCAGACTCACTCTGGGCTGGTTTGATAATGAGTCACGATAAAGAATTGGAGAAAGGTTGGAGGAGGAAGGATGCTTTGGATCGTACTAATATTAATCTGAGCTTTTCTCGTCACATCCTTCAGATTTTGGAATCAGTCAAAGAAAAACATTTACCAACAAATAACATTATTGGGAGTTAAACCCATGCACCAGTAGGGGCTCATGCTGATCAGGCAAACGGTTAAAAACCAAAATAAAAATAAAAATAATAAAACACAGCAAAGGAGATCACTCCTCTGCGTTCTCCAACACTAGTCTAATGCAGAAAACAACCAGCAGACTCACAAATAAGGTCCTATAGAGGGAAGAAGTGTTCTCACAAAACACCAGGCCGCCCTCCCGCCTCTCCTTTAAAGAGCCAGAGCCCAAGTTCCCCTCAAAGACGCTCTTCAGCGAGGAGGAGGAGGAGGAAAGAGAAGGCAGAAAGGAAAAGAGGAGGCTGAGAAGACGAAGGCTAAAGATCAACGACGACAAAGATTTTTCCTTTTACTGTAACAAATAAAACAATCTCATATTTAGAAAGAACCAGTTGTTAACAGAAGCTGTTCAGCAAACTGGTTTGAGAACATTGTATTAATTTTGACCAAATCTTCTCTACGTTAATCCATTTTCTAATATTATCACCTTCAAGATGAAGATGAGTAACAAGAAGTTCAAAAATCAGACCCAAGTAAGATTTACAAACTGCTGCCCGTCGACCTAAAACAACTAAAAGAACATTTCTGAACAACAGTTCAGCTAGAGAAAGAAAACGATAAGCTGCACTTGTTCTGCAGGTTTGCAGGCGTTTAAACGAACAAACACAACGCGGAGCTTCTAAAACGTTCGTTTTGCTGCAGAGATGAGAAGAATCCAACTGGAGCTGGTCGGCGCGGTGACGTTAGAGCGGCTGACTCACCGGCAGGTTTTTGGCTGAATCCAGGAAGACGATGAGCACGGCAGACGACAGGCCGTCGTTGGCGTAGCCGCGGTCGGCCTTGATGGCCGCCAGCGCCTTTGATGCAGCGACACAAAAGGTTTTAGTTCTTCACGTTGTACTTTGAGTTTTGTTTCGAACGATTTCTGTACCTGGTCCAGTTTCTGAGGCTGGGACAGCAGAGAAAACCACTCCAGTTTGAGGTGCAGCTTCCCCGACGTCACTTCGTCCAAAGTAAACCACTGATGGAAACACAATGTATTATTAATATTAAAATATTCACCTCAAAACAGATTATTTTATTTTAGACGTATAAAATAGGATTGTTCTTTATTTATTCCAATTATATTCAAACAAAAAAAGATCTAAGCTTTGTATTATTTAGGTCTTGTAATTTGTTGAAGTTATTATCAAATGTTTGCACAGCTCAACAATTTGATTTTTTTTAATTATTATTTTGTTTAATATTAAATATAAAACAAATCTGTAATTACAGTTTTTATGTGTACTGTATTGTTTTTTGAGTTATCTTTTGTAATAAGAATACTTCCTCAAACTTTGTGCTATTTTGAGTTTTCATAAACTTTTACATAGGCATTGTTTTTTTTTTTTTATTTTGCTTTTTTTGCTGATCGTTTGTTCGTGTTTTGAAAGTTTTAGCTATTGTTCTGCTTGTTTATGATGGGGTTTGAAGGTTTTAGTAACAATTCTGATAGTTTTAGCATGTGTTTTGTTGGTTTCAGATACTGCTCAGCTCATTTCAAGTTGTTTTAGCTACTATTCTGATTGTTTTTAGCCTGTTTTGAACATTTTAGCTCCTGGTGTGCTTGTTTTATCTCCTGATTTGAAGGCATTAACTACTTTTCTGTTTGTTTAGGCTCTAACTTTAGCTACCCGGTATGGTTTAGCTTGTTTTAGTTCATATTTTGAAGGTTTTAGCTACTGTTTAGCTTATTTAACTCATGTTTTGAAGGAATTAGCTATTGTTTAGCTTGTGTTTTGAAGGCTTTAGCTACTGTTTAGCTTATTTAGCTCGTGTTTTGAAGGCTTTAGCTACTGTTTAGCTTGTTTAACTTGTATTTTGAAGACTTTAGCTACTGTTTAGCTTATTTAACTCATGTTTTGAAGGCATTAGCTATTGTTTAGCTTGTGTTTTGAAGGCTTTAGCTACTGTTTAACTTGTTTCGCTCATATTTGGAAGGCTTTAGCTACTGTTTAGCTTGTTTAATTTGTATTTTGAAGGCTTTAGCTACTGTTTAGCTTATTTAGCTCATGTTTTGAAGGCTTTAGCTACTGTTTAGCTTATTTAACTCGTGTTTTGAAGTCTTTAGCTACTGCTCACCTTAAACCTCCTAAGTGATCTGTGGTAAATCAATTAACAGGTCTTCAAGTCTGGCCACAGGTTTTCAGACTTTTTGAAAGTCTAAAAAAAGTTTATTATTATGATGTTATTTTCATTTAACAAAAGTAAATATACATATTTATTTTATGTCTAACAAGGTGGAGTCAGGTCTTCTGACTCCACCTTGTTAGATGTATCTAAATGGATTATTGAGCATGTATCAGGATATACATTTATGCTCTTCTTCATAACTTTATTGAAGTTATTCTTGTTTTTATACATGTGATAAAAACTGTGTCAAGACGCCTTGCCACTAAAACAAAGGTGCATCATTTAAATTAACTTGTTAATTACTGAAAATCAATGTGTCCATTACTTATAAAACAAAAAAATGTCTTAACAGAAAGTAAAATAAATATTTGCTGGCAGAAATCTCGGCAATGCAACAATTTAAAATGATAAATGTCTCAAACATGATCGAGTTAAAACAGTCCGGCTAAAACTGAAGACTGTATCTGGAACCAACTATTTCTGGTTGTTATGGCAACAACAACAACGTCCCCTCTTCTGTGGTCCAGCAGGATGCTGGGAGGCCTCTGTCTGAGGTCCCACTTCATGGACGGTCACAGATCCTGATCTACTCGTCTCATAAATCTGTTTGAGTCTAGAGTTAAAGCCGCTCAATGAACTATACGTTTGGAGTCAGGATGAAGGAGGTTGACTTGTCTTTGGCTAAATGTTGTAGCAGTTCCATTGACTGCAATGATTAGAGGCAGAAGGACTTCAGGTGGGAGCACCAAACTTGGATGAGATCCTGCAAAGCCTTGTACGTCGCTGCACGGCAGCAAACCCGGAACAACGTTTGGGAGCAAATGATCAGAAAACGGTCCGGACGAAACCTGAAGCCTCACCTGGTCAACCTTCTGCTCTTTCTTGACCTCGTCCAAGTCAAAATGAAGACTGAAAAACAAAAACTGTTTTTAATACACATGACTATTTCAAAGCCAAGACTGCGTCCTGGTTTGTTCAAAGTTCACACACGTCAAAGCCTTTCAAACTAATATAATGTATGTTTGACACTTTTTAGAAAAATAAATAAAGGATGAAAGGAAGTGCTGATTTATTTTCCTTCTGCTACACAGATCATTCTTCAGAGCGGGTTCAGAGCTTCTGGTTACCCTCCCAGGTAGTCGTCTTTATCTGTGTCTTCATCGAACAGCTCGATCTCCACGACGCGTCCCGAGCTTTCGTAGATTTTAATCTGGAAACAACAGCTAGAGGTTAATGCGGCCTTCGCAGACACAAGCTCTGCAGATGTGAAGCCACGCAAAACAAACTAACGCCATTTAATCCGAGTCCGGACCAAACACTGACCTCACAGTCTCACACTCCCCTAACAGCTAACAAATATTAACTTTGACTTTTAGACTTTCATTTATTCACACAACTTTTTTCTCCCACCATCACAGACATCTACACCTCTAGATGCAGGAAGAGGGCCACTCGCATCATGAAGGACCCCACTCATCCAGCACACACACTTTTTGCCCCACTCACCCCAAACAGGAGGTTGCGGAGCATTAAGTGTAGAACCACTAACAATTATTTGTTTGCTCGACATCATAGTAAAGGTGTGTCTCAGTTGAAGTTTTACTTAATAAATGCACTTCAATGGTCAAATCAGTTTCATTTCAACGGGGCGTTGCAGCAAAATGAAGCAGATTTGACGATTGCTCCAAGCAGCGAGCAGAACAAAGGTGTCAGGCTATGGCAAGCCAACTGTGTTTTTAATAGCCACTTTTACCTATTACATGACACAACGGCATGCTATATAACTTGAGTGCCATCTAGCGGCTGAAAATGGTAGTGTTTAATATTTTCAGTCAGAATGAATGAAAACGGTCATATATCAGCCAAAAGTCGGTTTATAAATATGGGGAAATCCATAAATACGTCGCTTCGGTGTATAAGTCGCAAGGCATGCAAATTATGCAAAACAACATGACTTATAGGGCGAAAAGCACGGAATATCTCAGATCCCTAATACGGTTTATTTTTACACTTGATATTTTTGCTACTTTTGGGTATAACTGGGACTCTGCGTACACAGTTTTGTTCCACCTCATGTACGTGTGATGCAAACGACAATAAAGAACCTTGAACTTTTCTCAAACGGCATTAATCATTAAATAAAAACAATTGTTTTTTAAATGTGGAATGGAAACAAAACATTGAAAGAAAGATATTTTGTGGGGGACTGCCTAGAAAGGCAGCCACCTGAAAAGGGTCTTGCTTTTCTATCAACTTTAAACACTAAACAGCTTCTAACAGCAACAGTCAGGTCACATGACCTGGAGTGAAGACGTCTCTGAACAAAACACTGATCAACTATTGGAGCCATTTTGGCTCAAGATGGCTGCCACAGATACCTCAGAAAACACTAATTTAACTACAACTCAGTCATTCTTTGAGACATTGAGCTGAAATTTAATATGGTTGTAGCTGAGAGCGAGTTGTTACATATTCCTAATGCAAATTAAAAATCCAAGATGGCCGTCTTAGCTAAAAGGGAAGAAACATGACTCTTTTAAAAGATATTTAGCTGAAATTTGGTATAGTGGTAATTGAGAGCGAACCCCAACACACAATACTGTCAAATCAAACTTATTAAATGGCCACAACATAGCAGTCCCATCAAAGTTTCTATTTTCTTATTCTGCTCCTTAAGCATCTAAAGTGTACGCGTTCAAGGTTTTGTATTTTTTAAAGTTTTCCTTGTAGGAAAATAATATTTTGCTTAGAGCATTTTTATTTTTTTTTCTTGGTTATCATTTAAGATCAGTAAAGTGCCACTCGCTTGTTGACCAGAACTAGAGAATCAAGGCCCAATATCTGAAAAAGAAAATCTGAAAACTCTCGAGTACGCTCAATATCTGCATTGAAAAAAGACTGACGACATAAAGTTGTAAACAAACTTCATGTGATTTGTTGAGGAAGTTGTGACTAAACTACCTGGATTGATCCTGAGTCACACGCGTTACGTGACGGTTCTGCTCCATTTCTTCAGAACCGTTTTAAACTCGTCCTGATTATTTCTGGACTCCAGAATCCTGCTGGTGGTTTCTGTGAGTGCCGCTCACCTCATACACCTCGTTCCACTTCGGGTTCAGGTTCTCCTGGATAACTTTGCTCTTGTAAATGTCCGCTCCGACTCGGACCACTCCGTACGGGTCCGACTTGCCCTTGATCAACCCTCCCAGGATCTTGTCCTTACTCAGCAGGTCCTGGGCCTCGATGAAGTGGATTCTTAGGACGGCCTGAGGAGACAGAAGAGTGATGGACAAGTGTAGAAACTAAATTTATTGATACTTTTGGTCTTCACACATTTCACATCAGGAGTGTAAATTATCAAATGTGTTTTCTGTGACTCAGCAGAGATTTAACTGAAACAGCCAGAGCAGTCCCTCTTTGTGCGTATGAGTGGGATACCTTGGGGATGGGGAAGCGGAGTCTGGCCAGGTCCGCCTCTCCGACCAGAGGGATGTTGATTTTGTTCGGCAGGACCACGTAGCTGTAGATGATGTCCTGGAGGAGGCTGTCGCACAATCCGCTGAGACGAGAACACAGGTGCAGGGCAGGTAGGGTAGACGGGTAAAGAGACACCAAACGGAAAAAGAGAAGTCAGAAAAGATCCGTCGAGTGCATAAAAAGACAACATCGAGTGATTAAAATCCGTAAGGCTTCAAGCGCTGATTAAGAGGCTGACAAACAAATTCTCGTCTCCAGAGGGCAAACAGTTACGGCTTGTTGTGTTCAGACACTACAGCATCACACAGAACGCCAGGAAATACTGTAAACAGAGTCCGCGTCACACGTTTGACCGGAACACGTGACACACGTCTACAAATGTTAATCTGCAACGACGCAAGAAAACAGAAAAACTTAGTCTAAGAAGGAAAACGTGAGTAAACCCAGATCTAAAAGATGACACTTTGAACACTCGAATCAGAATTCAGTGTCGTCTCCCTCGGGTTTTTTTTTTTTAATATTTCCATGCATTTTTTAAATTTAAATGTTTTCAAAGACTCTACAGTTTAGAGTCATGAGGTCATCAGACATGATTTAGACTCTAAATCATGTTTTCTTTTTTGCAGACATGCTGTTTTGTCTTCTGGTACTAGTTTTTAGCTCATATTCTGCTTCTTTTAACTTCTGGCTTATATTTTCCTACTTTTAGCGAGACCTTTGCGACGTTTACCATTTAGCTAGTCTTTGTTACATTTACACGTGATCGCCAGAATTGAATTCAAAATCTTGCTTTTAACCTACAAAGCTCTCAACAACCTAGCTCCATCATATATTCAAGAACTTATTGTTCCATATTTTCCTACAGAGCACTTTGCTCTCAGACTGCAGGTTTACTCGTGGTTCCTAGAGTTTCCAAAAGCAGAATGGGAGGAAGATCTTTCAGTTCTCAGGCTCCTTCTCTTGAGGAACCAACTTCCAGTTTCTGTCCAGTTTGAAGACTGGGCTGACTTTCCTTTTTGATCAATCCTATAGTTAGGGTTGGCTTGTTATGTTGCTATAGACTTACTAGAGGACAAACTGATCTAATTTCCTTAAATGAATTGTTAAAATTTAATAGTTTTCATTTGATACTATTTCTATCTTAACATGTGATTCTTGACCTGCCATTGTGTATCTGTTACTACCAAACCCAGCCAGTCGAAGCAGATGGTCCGCTTGTCCTGAACCTGGTTCTGCTAAAGGTTTCTTCCTCATGAGAGTTTTTCCTTTCCACTGTCGCCTTCATGCTTGCTCAAGATGAGAGTTCTGCGATGAAGTTAAACTCAAAGCTGCTCCTCAGATAAATAAAGTTAAATTATTATTTTTATATATGAATGTTTCTGTTCAGTCCCTGAGACGACTTCTGTTGTGACTTGGCGCTAAACTAAATTGAATTTAGCTTTTAGCTACTTTTACATTTTGCCCCGTGTTTTTCTTTTTGCTTTAGCTAGTGTTGTGTTCATCTTTAACAGGGGAGTGGTGGCACAGAGGTTAGAGAACACTGTGATCGGAAGGTCGCCGGTTCAACTCCCCAGACCATAAACATCAAAATGTGGGTGGAAAAGGTGAAACACCCACATCTGCCTCCACCTTCATTTGCCGCACTTTGAGCAAGGCCCTTAACCCCCACCATCTGCTCCCAAACAGGTGTCTCTTGAAAGTACTCGTGACTCAATGAGACTTGTATAAATAAAGGTTAAATAAAAAAATAAAATAAACTGCTTCGTTTGCATTCCTTCAATAAATTTCAGCCAAGTCATCCAGAACTCAGCGTTCACCTTGTCTCTAGTTTTGAGCAGTTTTTTAAGAAACAGAAAATATTTCATCCTGAACTTTTACTGGATAAATTAAAATAAAATCCCGATACATTACTCAGAATAAGCAGACTAGTGCGTGTCCAAATAAAACAAGAAAAATTATCGGCCTGACGTGACGAAAGATCCTAAAATGAGTCTCAAGACTAATCAGAGTGCAAAGAAAAACAGCTAAACGTGTCGGTACGGTTCTGAAGGTGAAAGCCAGATTACAGATTTTATTGCGGTATTGTTAACCTTTTGTTTAAGCTGCGTTCATTCCAGATATTTTTATGCAAAACATGAACTTTCTTTCCAAAATGATCAGTGTTGCTCAGTAAATGGCTCACAGCTGCACTCGGACACAAATCTCTGACAGGCGGGTTTTAAAGAAAATGGCTCTGATCACCATATTTTTAAGGAATCTGTTCTTCTTTCAAGCTGGAGTTACAGGCAAGCCCAAAATAATAAAACTGAAATGCTCCTTTATTCCATGTGAAATTACTGCAATCAGTTCATATAACTCTTTATGTTATAATTGTTTTTACATTTTATTTACCTTTCTTTCCATTTTAACTCAACTTTGGCTGTTTACAATCTAACATAATTTTTAATGCACTGAACTTTTATCATTTATAGTTTTTTTTTATATGGTATATTGTTCTGGTTGTGTTTTATTACCACTGTAAAATCCAATGTCCTCTTTGAGGGACAATAAAAGGTCTGAATCTGAGATTATTTGAGAGACAGTTTTATAAAATAAAAATTCTAACTTCTCCATTAAATAAAAATATGTCTTTATAACTGCATGAAAACAAAACCAATTGTATTGTTTGCTTTGAAGAATTTAGGCATAAAGATTATTTTAAAATAAAAACCCTATATAAAATTAAATCATCTGACAGTTCACATTTCCTCCCCTAGATGGCAGCAGAGTTTTAAATAAGAACCAAAGTTAGATTTTGGTAAATACCTCTTTAAAAGTTGATTCTAGGTCAATTTTCCACCAAGTTTAAATCATTGCTTTTAGTATAAAATGCTGAGTGGTTATAACCGTGTTTATTAAAGGTATAAATAAGTCCAGATGAGCGTTAAATTGTGCATCTCTAGGTTTCTTAGCTGAAGTCAGCCTCAGATACGTCCAGCTGTTATGCCTATAAAAGGAGCTTGTTTTGGTGCGAGGCCGAGGGTGTCCGCTTTTCCAGCTGGGGGAGGCTGTAGCTTCTTGTGCTGTTTTGAGGCAAAATGCAAATCATCACAGAGGAAACGTACACACACAGGACCAGGAGGGTGGGGCAGGGCACAAACACACGTAGTTTTCTTCAAACTCGTTGAACGAGGAGAGCTGCATTGCACAGGGTGGAGTCTTTTAAAAGTCACGACGTGATTCTCAGCTGAAAACAAACCGGCAGGAAACACTTACAGGTTCGTCAGGAGGCGTCGTGACATAGTTAACGGTGAGCTAACAGCTCTTTGGGTAAGGGCGGGGGCACTCACAACATTTAGGTCATGTTTCGGGGGTTTGTTGTTCTTCTTTTATGTTTGAACTGGCTTTTTCCCCTCCCCTAAGAGCTCAGGCATCAATCATCTAGCAAAAAACAAAGAATGTAAACAGGAAGCGCATGAAGAACAAGACAAACACTCCCCTGACATCACCACTGAGCTCTGCGGGCTGAAAAACTAAAGTAAACATGCACAGAACAGACATACGTGTAGTAGTTCGGTATTTAATATGTGTCTGGGATTTACTCGTGTTAATATTTACATACGTGTTGGGAGTCTTTTCTAGTTTTAAGCATGGAATAATACCTGCAAGCCTTTCTGCACTAGTGACTGAAGCCACTCCTAAATAATGCTGTTCCTCCTCCTCTACATCAGCTCCAAGAGCAAAGCAGCCATCGTTTGGTTTCGGTTTGTTACTTAATATATGAGAGAAGCTTTAAAAGGCGTGTCCAGTGCTTCAGAAGCTGCAGAACAACCGCATGTAGGAATAAACAAGACTCTGAAACTCTCAAACATGACAACAAAGTCCATGCTCAATAAACCTCAATCAAACATGACGTTAAGGGAAGTTAAATGCAAAAGTCTAGCATCCTCCACCGAATCATACTTCTGCACCTTTGTTGCTTCGTACCCATGGACTCTTGGTACAAATCAGCCACTGGTCTCTTTGTACCACTTTTGCCCACTTCATATTAAACCCTATTCACACGGGATGAGTTTTACCTAAGGACCACATGCTATTTGTAATAATTACGGAGATTGTCTGTGTTGTTAATCCCGTGGGAATCGGCCATGTCAGTAATTTGTAAAGTAAAAATTCCCCCGCAAATTACCTACTATATTTTGATGAACTCAGAGGTCCTGTGATAATACTAATCCAATGTGAATAGGCATCTCTGTGATTTGGACAGAAATGGGCAGATCTGTTACATAATTAGGTGGCTTTTCTTTTTGTTTAAGCAAAATCATTTGGAAAAATATAGAACAAGGCTAATTTAAATGAACGCGCTGCTCGCTTCAGCTTTTATGCTGCTACTTCCTTCACCGCAGATGACAGGCGCAGAGACGCGTGTGTGATCAGCTGACCCACCCATCCATCCATCCATTATATTTACCTGCTTCTTCCTTTTCGGGTAATGACGTTCTGCTCAAATCAGGTATCAAACTCCTAAAGTTACAATTTAAAATGTCTGCCTAAAGACACAAGCAGGTTGGTTTGCACTTCCTCTGCATCTCAAAGAAGCAGCATCCACTTCAGCATGACACAGTCCAGAGTCTGTGCCTGGCACGAGTATTTTATAAACCACCATTGTGTCCACAACAATGTAGTTTAATTTGTGAAAATGTCGGTAGTGGTAGTGATAAATATGTGCAAGACTTTGGTAAGACAGTGAGAAGCCCTGTTCTTATTGGTGTTCTGGACTTTAATCAATCCAGCATGTAGATAAATGGCTGCTCATCATGTCGTTTCATCAAGAGAATAAATTTGATGGTGCCCATCTCTTCTCCGTGCTCTCGATCACTATCTTGCATAGAGGTGGTTGAAGCGTTCTGCCACAGTGTAGCTGCAGAATATCTGCTGCTTGGAGCCACAGATGAGCTGGGTGTTGGTGAGGACCACTTAGGGATCGACCATCTGTAATGCACAAGCAGCACAGCTGCAGCCATGTGACCCTCAAAGGCGCTACCTCTCCCCTCACAGCACAAGCACAAACCAGTGTTTAAAACGATCCAAACCTTTGCTGCCCTTCAAGAAACAGAGCCCACACGGTCCAACGTCAGTGAACCCAGAGACGACAGAAACTGGAATCTGTAACACCTACAAGTGTTTTTCTAACATCTTTTTTGATTTCTATAGTTGGGGACCTTTAATGTGGCTCGAACTGCAACACGTACCCCCACAAATTTTATCTCAAAACGACCGGCTCGGCACCGTGATGTGTGCTCTTACCTCTATTGGCATTTCGAGTTACTATAGCGACGTAACTTGTAAACAAAGACGCCATTTTTCTCATTGAAAAGCGCTGACAGAACTCTAGACAGCTTCTAGATGCCACAATGAGGTCACATGACCTCGAGGGCAGAGGTCTCTGAACAAACTCAGAAAGTCATCAAACAAACTCTTCCTACCACCACCACATCTTTCAAGATACACAAACACATAACATATTATTTAATATAATATTTAACATATCAAAACCTAAGTATTTTTGATATCTCAATTTTTTAATGGCTGCCTCGTGGCAGTACCCATCAAAGTAAACAGTAAATGTACTGATTTATATAGCGGTTTTCTATCTTTTCAAGATACTCAAAGCGCTTTACAACAATCTGTGTCCTCATTTACACATTCATACAGCACTTTGTTTCTACAAAGAATAATCAGAGCTTTATCACATTCATACACTGCTGGGACACACATTGGAGGCAAAGAGGGGTTCAGTGTCTTGTTCAGGGACACTTTGGCATGTGACTGCTGGCGGAATCAAACCCCCAACTCTCGCATTGGAGGACGACTGCTCTAATCACTCAGCCACAGCCGCACAAGTTTCTCCAGGAACCGTCTAGTTGCTTCCACTGTTAGCTGATCTTGTTAATTCAGCCATTTCACTCAAGAGCAAAATGAGCAAATGTGCAGTAATTCAATTAAATTCAATTCAAAAATACTTTATTAATCCCGGAGGGAAATTATTTGTTGTTGTAACTCGTGATCCTCGTTTCATTAAGAGATGCTATAGATGCTGATGGCTGTAGGCAGGAAGGATCTCTTGTAAAGGTCCATCCCACAGTGGATCCTAAGAAACTGACTTCAGATGCCGTCTGATCCGTCCATCCAGACTCAGCTGGCCTCTTGGTTCCCCCGGGCTGTAGGACCGCCCAAATGCCAGGCAGAACTCCTCCCACAGCAACGGCCACTCCTCCCAGCAATCTGCCGAGCTCCTCGTCACTGCGGACAGCCAGCTGTAGGTGCCGAGGGACGATCCTGTCCTGCTGTCATGAGCCGTGTTTCCTGCTAGTTCCAGGATCTCAGTGGTCAGACACTCGAGCACAGCTGGCAGGTAGATGAGAGTGCATCCACAGAACATCCTTTTCAACTCATTTGGGGTTTGGGGCTGTAGTTGAGATATTATTTGAGCTTTTGAGACGTTAATCAGCTGCTGTTGGTTGTAGAAAACTGCCTTGTTGCCACGGTTACGCATCATAACAAATGTCCAAAAGTAAAAGTGTCAGTAAAAATCCTTCCAGCTGCACAGCATCTGATACCAGAGGGAACAATCATCCAAAAAATGTGATTTACATCCAGAAAAAGAGGAATTAAAAAGTTTCCAAAAGCAAAATGTCAGAATGAAAGTAACAGAGCTGCTCCGACATGCAGCCACCTTGAGCGGCGCAATTCTAGAATTAAACTGGAGTAGAAGTGAACAAATGGTTGTTTTGGACTGGTGTCAAAGCAACATTCTGTCTGGAAATACACCTAACATCATGTCTGTCTGCAAAGAACCCCTTCTTTCATAATAATGTTATAAATATATCAAACGTAGTGACGAAATGGAAAAGCCATCATCTGCTGTGTCCATGGTGGTTAAGGAAATGGTTTCTGAGGCAAATGTGTGTCCCGAGACTTTCTCTTTGAAGTTTTCCTGTAATTTTCTCTTCACGTCATAAAGAGATCTGATGGATCGTCTCGTTTTAGTTTCCAAACTGCAGAGAGGTTAATGTTACGTTTTCTGACAACACCAGGACTGCTGCTCATTCCTGTTGAAGCTTCCGTGTCCTCAAACGGGGAACGAAAGAAAAAGATGCAAAAACTTTAAAGTGTCTCTTAAAAACATTTCTCAGCAATCCAACATTTGAATTCAGAGACTTTTTTTTTCCTGCACAAATTACAAACAATTTAAAGCAAATATTCCAAATATGAGCAACACAAATAGCTCATTAATGAAACAAAACCAGGAAGTGGGAAAAGTTGAAGCACAAACGTACAATAAAGAGAAGTACCTGGTGCCTCCAGGAAAAAGATAAGACATTTGAATTCATACACGACACAGCAAACAAGTTCTCAAAGTGCGGCCAAAGTTTGCATTGAAAAGCAGCTTTCAGTTAGAGTCCTGCAAAGCTAACCCATAATAATGCTTCATTGAGGTCTGACGGGTTCCCATAATGCACCTCTTCATGTCCACTTTGCATGTGAGAGAAGGAATAATGTTTGCACTGCAGAGCCTCAATAATGAGACATCGTGAGCAGAAACAAAAACAGATGGCGTGCATGTTTTACAGCTGCTGCTCTACGGCGTTAATTGATTATGAGGAGGTGTTTTTGTATCAATATTACTTGCAAGTGATCAGCAGCAAATACTAAACATTTGGCGTCTAATGCTGGTGAAACAGGATCTATCTCTGAATGGCAACACTTGTTGGTTTTCAGAAGAAAGACTGAAACGAACGTTTGAATCATACAAACACACCTGGCAGGATTTTATAAGCTGCAAATGCATTCTATTTTTTCTATTATAGTTATTTCCAAATGATTATCACTTTAAAATATCGTTTAAAAAAAATTAATGAATCTTTTGCAGATAAAAAGCCATTTCAAAACTCTTTATCAATAAAACCTTCTTCACCAACATAAAAAGTTACAAACCCATAGCATGAGATAAAACGTTTATTAAATAATAAAACTGTGTATTATTTTCACTAAGTGAGCCTTTAATCCAAAACACAGTTCATCGAAGGCTGATTCTGTATATTTGTGTTTATTCCTTTAAAGGAATATTGAATATATAATATTAGACTGACATGGGAGCAAAGCTACTATAATAGTTCACAATAATAAATAAATATTTAGGTTTTGTTTGTTTGTTTCAATGTCAGAAATAAAAGTTTACAGAATATTTTTGAAAATCAAGTCAGAATTGTCAGTTTTCAGTCGTATTTCCAGAACACCTTAAATTTTAAATAGTTAAGAGGCTTTTTTTTGCTTTTGCTTTAAGTTTAAAATAATTTTTAAGAATGCTTTCCATTTCTCTGCATGTAACCAATTTGGTAGAAATAAATTTATCTTTGGGTGGAAGTCATTTTTAGCCAAACGGATTAAAAAAAAGAATATCTACGCCTCCTAAAGTGACTAACGCTGACCAGGTACACAACAACAGTACAGCAGAGCTTTTTTTTTTTTTTTTACATAAACTCCTACACAAATTTTCTATTTTCACAGGACAAAATACAAAACCTGTATCAGAAATGACGTTTCTTGTTACAAACGTGTTCATGTTTTGAAACTTAATGTTTTCCCACAGCTCATAGGGCAAGGCAGACAGGAGAGGAAACAAAGAGAATCCCTGCATTTTGTTAAATGAGGTAAGAAAGGTTTATTTAATAATGATTAATTGTCTCTTATGAACACTGGATGTGTTCAAAATATCAGTAAAAGTTCAAAGTTGCAAACATCATGGACACAAACAGCTTCATGCTGTAAATCCTCACTATAAAATCAGTGAGTTTGACTCAAAGCTGCTGCAGGTACTTACTTTACACCTGGAATATCCAGTATGTTTGTGAGTCCCGACCAATTTATATCCAGCATCTGAAAGACAGAAGCAATGCAACTTAAACAAGTGACACCCCATGCCCCCCCCGAAGCTGAGGGACTTGAACAGTGGACGTTTGTAGTTCTGGAGATGAGCGTTTGTCTGGACTGGAACTGAGCAGAGAACACAAGTAAACCTTGATGTTTTTGGTACGAGATATTCAAGTGGGTAGGAGTTACACTGTGGAGAAGAAAAGAGGTTGGCATTATGGGTTGTCAAAGGTGGCGCAGATCCTGGTGAGTGGAGGGAATTTTATTCACCAACAGGTGCAATGGCGGAGCCAGTGGGATGTCAATGGGGGCCTTGGCCACCACAGAATAATCTTCGGCCACCCCATTCATTTGAGGAAACTATACTTTTAAAAAACATAAAAACTAGAAAGCATAATTTACTCAAATGATAAGGCGGTTGGTTTACATATATATATTTGGCGGTGGCCATTTTGGATTTTTGACACGTCAACCCAATTTTCAATGATATTTCTTACGTCTAAATGCAGCCACACAACAAAACGGAAGTCGGTACCTCAATGATTTTTCCAGTTATCGTGCTCGTAACATGCACGTATGGACAGACAAATAAGAGAGTATTTCCAATTCCCATATTTGATACTGTCAACGTTTTAGGGAGACGAGCAGTAACAAATGTCATACATGAGCAATATTTTGAAGAAATTTAATCTAATTTTTATAAGATTTGGCCAAAGTTTTGATTCCTGACGAGAACTTTAAAGGACTGACCTGGTTTTGCCAAAGTAAGAGATGAGAGCTTTATTGTCATTATATAAGAGGTAATGTAATGAAATTCAAAAAAGGTTTCAAGCTGGAATTTCAAACAGTTTGAAGGCAACCTTTAGTGTCTTCTATAGCAGAAGTCAAACCAAGTTTATTTGCAACTGTTGCCCAAAAAGCAGATTTTTTTTAATTCCTTTGAATTTCTTACAATAATTTTGTCTCATTGTAACTGTTTTGAGATGTTTTATATACAAACTGAAAAACATGAGTGACTAATTTACATGAGCCCAGGCTGCTGGGGTCTGTTAGAGCCAGGGAAACTACCGTAGTTAGCAACTGGTAAATAAAAAAGGAAAAAAACAATCTAAACTTCCAGAACGTGAGTGGACCAGTTCTATGAAACCAAGTTCATAAAATCTGTTTGAGCTGCACAGAAAGTCCAGGTTGGAGATGAAGCAGGAGGTTCTGCTCCAGCTTGTTCCTGTTGGCACCAGAAGTTGGGTTTCAGGTGAAGAAACCGAGCACTGAAAGCCACGACGACGTGCTCTCACATTACTCACAAAAGAAAGGCGTGTTCGCGGGGATCGTCAGAGTGGGAGCAGAACCTGAATTTCTAATCCAGTTGCTGGGTCTGTGTGCTAGAACCTAAACTGGGTCACCTGAGGAGCACGACTGCAAGAAGCGGTGAAATGTGGGTGCTCACGAAGGTTTTCTAACTACAACCAGTGAATGAAATCATCTTTGGCGCTGCTGCACCTTTTTTTTGTCCAAATATCTTCAGGTCTTGGCCGTTTGTTAGGTAATCTACAGACAACCACACCGCGGTGTTCACATACCACTGCCTCAGCTGCCTTGGGAGAGGAACAGCTGAATTACAGCATGAATCATTCCTAACACACCCTCACACCCACCGAATACCACGATTACTGCAACCAGCAGCAGACAGAAGCAGCACTGCAAAGAAGCACCAGGGATGGGAAGCTATACACACGAGGCTGCAGAAAGGAAGAGTGTGCAGGACTTTTAGGATAAAATCTCACTAAAGATGATGTCACGTTACTTAAAAAACCTCAAATATTTAGAAATCAGTGTTTTAAAATCATTAAAATACTACAAAAGCATCCGAGTTGAGTCTTACTTTGATCTACCTCACATTCTTGTGGAAGTGGAAAACATCTCTCACAAACTGAGTCATTCTCTGGGTATTTCCTGACTTTTAAGATGTTTTCTTTGAATAATCTGAGATAATCCAGGTTAAAGGTTCCAACTCTATTTCCAAATAAAATGGAACATTTTGTGTAATGTGAAGAAAAAAACAATATAATGATTTTCTAATTTCTTTTTGCCCATATTTTATTCAGAGTGAAACAATAAATATATCAAATATTAAAACTAAGGCATTGTACAGGTTTTGTTTGTTTGTTTGCGGGGGGGGGGGGGGGGGGGGAAATTTTAAAGGTGATGGCAGCAGCACACCTCCAAAAGTCCAAAAGTTGAGATGGTTGCAAGAAAACGCTATGAAAAGAAATTGTACCAATAAGAAACAGCTGGAGGATCATTACATTACTGGCAGCAGGTTTGCAAAAGGAGCATTAGATAGGCTGATGTTCTTAGAAGTAAAGATGGGCAGAGGTTTACCGGTCTGCTTCAAATTGTATCTAAAGAGGAGCACGTTTTGAATAACGTTCCTCAGTGGAAAATTTAGTAGACTTTAAGTAGACATAATATCATCAAATGGTTTCAACAATCTGTAGAAACCTCTGAGCTCAGAGGACGAAGCTGAAGGTCAATATTGGATAATTGAGGTCTTCAAGTCCTCAGGGACCACTGCAATAAAACGGGTCTGGTTCTATTCTGGGCTCAGGAACACGTCCACAAATCACTGTCTATAAACACAGTTTATGCCATGCACAAATACTGACTTGTCTAGACTATTGCAATGGTTTATTATCTGGGTGTCCAAATACTTCTTTAAAACGTCTTCAGTTGATCCAAAATGCTGCTGCCAGAGTCTTAACTGGAGTTACTGGGAGAGATCATATCTCTCCAGTTTTAGCTTCTCTCCATTGGCTCCCTGTTAAATCCAGAATTGAATTCAAAATCTTACTTCTAACCTACAAAGCTCTCAACAACCTAGCTCCATCTTATATTACAGATCTTATTGTTCCATATTTTCCTAACAGAGCACTTTGTTCTCAGACTGCAGGTTTACTTGTGGTTCCTAGAGTTTCCAAAAGCAGAATGGGAGGAAGATCTTTCAGTTCTCAGGCTTCTCTCTTGTGGAACCAACTTCCAGTTTCTGTCCGTGAGGCTGACACATTGTCCAGTTTAAAGACTGGGATTAAGACTTTCCTTTTTGATAAATCCTATAGTTAGGGTTGGCTTGTCATTCTGCTATAGGCTTACTAGAGGACAAATTGACCTAATTTCCTTAAATGAATTGTTAAAATTGAATAGTTTTCATTTGATACTATTTCTATCTTAACTTGTGATTCTTGACCTGCCATTGTGTATCTGTTACTACCAAACCCAGCCAGTCGAAGCAGATGGCCTCTTGTCCTGATCCTGGTTCTGCTAAAGGTTTCTTCCTCATGAGGGAGTTTTTCCTTTCCACTGTCGCCTTCATGCTTGTTCAGGATGAGAGTTCTGTGATGGAGTTAAACTCAAAGCTGCTCCTCAGATAAATAATGTTAAATTATTATTTTTATATATGAATGTTTCTGTTCAGCCCCTGAGACGACTTCTGTTGTGACTTGGCACTAAACTAAATTGAATTTAGCTTTTAGCTACTTTTACATTTTTCCCAGTGTTTTTCTTTTTGCTTTAGCTAGTGTTGTGTTCATCTTTAACAGGGGAGTGGTGGCACAGAGGTTAGAGAACCCTGTGATCGGAAGGTCGCCGGTTCAACTCCCCAGACCATAAACATCAAAATGTGGGTGGAAAAGGTGAAACGCGTTCAAGTTTTACTTATCGTCTTTTGCCGTTGACATTTTCGTGCCTTGATTTTTGATAGGTTCCATCCAGTAGCTGCTGCGTTTTATGTTTTTAAGTCCGATGATTTAGATGCGAGCGGCACTTGATGAAAACAAAAAGACGAGACATGCACCAACTAAAAGACAGGTCGGCTGGGTGAAGCGCGGATTCTCGACGAATCACATTGTGACACCGCAGCTGTATTACCGAAGCTTGGCATCCTGTCTGTCACAACAAAACCACGACCCAGAGAGAGTAACGGGGTGGAGAAATGGTACCAACAGCCGAAAATACATAAACCACTAACATCCCAGTGGGGGCGGCCACTTCTACTTCTGATAATTCAACGGGTTTGTTTTATTTATTACCTCCGAGACTAAATTAGATAAATACAGGAACGCAACGACGGCACAAACCTCTTTAGGGCTGCGTCTATCAACTATTTTTAATTTGATTAATCATGTAATGCTTAAAATATGACAGAAGATTTTATATAATCTCAGAGTCAGCTTTCAGTTTTTGTTTGAGGTAGTAAAAGATGTGATTATTGCTCATCATTTCTTTTTTTTGTCTTCAAATCACGCCTGAACTCAAACAGATGCTTCCACATATCAGTGTTGTATCAATACCGCTCCACGGCGTTGTCACTGAGCCTCGTGAAACGTTTAAAAATACTTTCCTTCACAGAAAAGGATATGATGTTAGTGTTATCTCACTTTCTGTAGGAGATGTGACGCAGACTGATGATGAGGCTGTAAAACAGACTCCTGGTCTCAGTTTGTGTCAAACTGGAAAAACTTAACTTGGGTTTCTTAATACCAGTAACAAAGTGCTCAATATATAAAAATAAAAACTGGCAGATGTCATTAAAGTGGTGATGTGAGCTGAAAACTTTGCCCAGCAGCAGATGAGGAGACAAAAGGTGTGTTGAAAATATATAGGCATCACTTAAAAAAAGTCCCACACCAAACATTTTTGCATCTCACTCATCTTAAATAGGACTAAATTTAAAAACACTCCCCCCAGACAGTCTCATTAGGAACTATTCACAGTTATACTCTTTTGGTTTTATCTTTATTTCAAACCTGAAAATATTCATTTTTATCTTCAGGTAAATAAGAGGCAGCTCAGAAACAAAGCAGCTTTGTACAAAATGTTTTCATAAACGTGTGTTCTGTCTCTGCAGACACCAGTCTGAAATCTACAAACACCGACAGTCTGATTAAAATAATAAACTGCTTAAAGCATCTTAGATTTCTCTGATTCCTTCCTGTTAAACAACAAGCTCGAGTTTCCACTTCCTGCTCCCAACATTAAACCAGTAATGCTCGTTTGCAGAAGAAGGAATAAGTTCTTGTTTGTGTCTAAAGGCTTTGATAACGATTCTTGTCTTCTGCATCAAAGTTTGAACCTGGGAGATAAATTGTGCTGAAGTGCAGGAAGGAAGAGCGCAGTTAGGAAGAGGGGATGCGTCGATAAAGAAAAGACGGAGCTCAGCATCATTTAGCAAGACAGCAGTGGAAAAAAACTGAACCAGCAGGGTCAGAATAAGGTTTTCTTCATGTTGGAAGTTTAAAAGTGGACGTTTCATTACCCTGTCCTTGAGGGAAAGGAACTCACTGAAACAGCTGATCAATCATCTCAGCTGATCTGGGTCTAGATCAAGGGTGCCCAGATATTTACAGCATGTGAGCTACTTTTAAAATGACCAAGTCAACGTGCTCTACCTGCTATAATGTCCCGTTTACACAAGAACTATGGAAACTTAAGTGTTTTTTCAATGTTTATTGGACGTAATAAACAAAAAGTTTGTGGGTTTACATGAAAACACTGTAGTTTCCATGTCAGTCAGGTTGCCAGAAAAAAAAAGATGAACTACAGTACTGTGGCTTTAAAATCAAAGTATTTTGGCCTAAACTGTCATATGTGCTCAGTAAAGATATTCGAAAACGAGATGCGTGTTGTTTTTTGAACATGTGCAAAGAAAAGGAGGGGGTAAATATGCCTTTTTAAATGTATCTGGCATATATTTATTATAACTGTTATATTTATTATAACTGTTATATTTATTAAAACTGTTATATGTATTATAACTGTTGTTATATGTATTATAACTGTTATATTTATTATAACTGTTGTTATATTTATTATAACTGTTGTTATATTTATTATAACCGTTGTTATATTTATTATAACTGTTGTTATATTTATTATAACTGTTGTTATATTTATTATAACTGTTTTTATATTTATTATAACTGTTATATTTATTATAACTGTTGTTATATTTATTATAACTGTTGTTATATTTATTACAACTGTTATATTTATTATAACTGTTGTTATATTTATTATAACTGTTGTTATATGTATTATAACTGTTGTTATATGTATTATAACTGTTATATTTATTATAACTGTTGTTATATTTATTATAACTGTTGTTATATTTATTATAACCGTTGTTATATTTATTATAACTGTTGTTATATTTATTATAACTGTTGTTATATTTATTATAACTGTTTTTATATTTATTATAACCGTTGTTTTATTTATTATAACCGTTGTTTTATTTATTATAACTGTTGTTATATTTATTATAACTGTTGTTAGAGCAGAAAAACGTTGGACTGCAGCCGTCTGGAGTGCACATGTGCAACTTCACACTTGGGAGCGTTTCACTCCTTCGTGGGGGGTTCCCCTGAAAATCTCCAGTCTGAGACCTGGATTCAGAAACCTTGAGTTTCATGGAGGATGAGGATGTTGTCTGTAAATGAACGGCCGAACGTTTCACGTCGTGTTAACGGGGCCTCAGACTGGCTGCCCTGTCTGTCAATCAAGAGACAAATTTCAAAGATGGATGATCGGCTGACGTTTATCTTTTAATGCCATGTGATCTACCCTTAAGGAGGGAAGGAGGTTGAGGAGTAGGGGTGGGCGATATGGCTCAAATATAATATTGTGATATTTCAGGGCATTCTGACGATAACAATAAATTTTGTGATATAACAAAAAATAAAAAATAAACACAGAAATCATAGTTATTTGACAAAATTAACTTAACATGTTGCTTTGCAGTATTATATAAAACAAAAAAACAAGGGGTAATTTTACTGAAATTACTTTATTTAGTAAAGTATTCAGTCTCCAAATATAAAAATAAAAAAGATCCTTCTGTTATTTAGATGAAAAAGTCTGCACAAAATACAGATCAATAAATCCACCACAAAAACTAAAGTGCAGGTGAAGCTTCCCAAAATAACTAAATAAAATAAAGCTCTAAATAAAATAAAGCTTAAGATCTGTTGAGCATAAATGTAACAAAATATATGTTTCCTTTAAATGAGCTATAACTAGCAGAACTTGTAACAAGGTGATCATCTGACCCTGAAGTCAGAGTCAGAGTCAGAGTTTCTTTATTGTCATTCGCACCTCATGTGGTACATGTGGTGGAGCGAAATTATGTACACGGGGTCCCAGTTACATCCAACAATAAAATGTCTAAGAAAAACAGTAATAACATCTAAGATATGAACTAAGAAAAACATCAACTAAATATACACTAAGCACTCATAACATAAAACATTGAACATCAGCACAAACATGAACATGAGTCTGTGAGCAGATGTGCACGCATGAACACATCAACATTTAAACAGATCAGCAGCAACATGAAACAGATCAGCAGCAACATGATATGGTTTTTCACAGTGATTATTCTGGTTAGAGATTCATGAGTCTAACAGCCTCAGGGTAGAAGCTTGTGGAGTTTCAGCTTCCTCTGTTCCTGCAGGAATGATCCATTTCTCTGATGCTCCGTCTCTGATCACCTGACTCTGTTCTTGGTCCATGGACTGTGGAACTAAGAGACAGACCTGCGCGTGTTTGTACCGGCAGTTTAGAGCGGGGGAGACGCAGCCCGCACCGACAGCCCAGAGCGGGATGGGGGGAGAGAGGAAAAAGATCAGTGGCAGCTTAGAGCAGGGGGAGGGAGACTGTTGAGTTGTCTGTACCTGAAGGTTAGAGCTGGATGGAGAGACAGCTGAGTCACGTGTTGTTTGTTTTTAGCTTCTTAGCTAGCTAGTGCGCAACTAATTAGCGTTACACCAGTACCGACAGGTGGGGGGGTAATTCGGTTTGGTCATTTGGCGCGCTCGGTTCTGTTAAAGGGGCGGGGCGCCCTGACCTATTGCGTCATGAAATTAGCATATCATGATATCATTTTTTTTGCCCGGGCAAGCTTTATTTACCGGTATTATTGTGAACGATATGATATGACCCAGCCCTATTGAGGAGCATTAAGTGTAGAACCACTAGACTGAGGAACAGCTTCTACCCTGAGGCTGTTGGACTCATGAATCTCTAACCAGAATAATCACTGTGAAGAATCCCATCATGTTGCTGCTGATCTGTTTCATGTTGCTGCTGATCTGTGTCATGTTGATGTGTTCAGGCGTGCTCATCTGCTCACACAGACTCATGTTCGTGCTGCTGCTCGACACATTGTTTTTATGCTGTTAGTGCTTAGTGTATTTTTAGTTGATGTTTTTCTTAGCTCATATCTTAGATGTTATTATTGTTTTTCTTTTACATTGTATTGTTGGATGTAACTGGGACCCTGTGTACATAATTTTGTTCGCACCACATGTACCACATGACAATAAAGAATCTCTGACCTTAATACCTTTGCGATCAACCGGTAGATGGTGATCGACGTATTGGGCACCCCTGGTCTAGACGATGTTGGAGTCGCTGCACACCAGTTACAGCGACTGACCAGCTTCATCTGCCGCTACAGTCCCCATCCTTTGTTTGGCGAGTTCCTACTCCTTCAGTCTGACCCAAGATCCCGAGCATTAAGATCAACAGCAGGGCTGGATTTTATCCACACTATCCAACTGGGTGATCCAGCAGATCTCATGCTGCTGTGTTCATTCATACCCATCTACTCACAGCAGACTCATGTTCAGGCTGCTGTTTAATATACCACATCATTTTACATTATCAGTGTTTAGCGTATATCTTCGTGTATATCTTAGATCTTTTCCCGTATTGTTTAGCGTTCATCTTAGTTATATCTTGGATCTTTATATGACGTTTCTTTTTATACTTTATATTTTTGCTATTTTTGGATGTAACTGGGACATTGAGTGCACAATTTTTTTCCACCTCATGTACCACGTGATGCGAATGACAATAAAGATACTTGAACCTTGATATCTGCTTATTTTAAGTCCACTGTCTTTTACAAACATCTTTTAAATTAAGTATTTCATGTTTATTGTTCTTTAAATGTGTCTTTATGCACCGGTGTGTCTTGTCTGTGAGACAAAGCTAACAATGAATCCTAATAAAGTCACCTTCAATCTATATTTTGCTAACAGACGAGCAGACTCATACAAACGCAGACAATTACACGACTGCCTAACTTTCATGACAGCAGGGAATAAAAAAATTGTAACAGCTCTGCTGTCAGCCCCGTAAGAGAAGACCACAGTCTGCGATCAAGGATAAAACCAACTCACGGGTTTCTTGAGGAAGAAGACGGACAGCGCTCCGATCAGAGGCATATCCCCCAGGAGAGGCTCCATCACCACCCTCAACACTCCATGAAGCTGCACGAAAGAGACACAAAGTCACGAACAAAAGACTGATTTGTGTTTTACAAACTGTCATGACTTCTGAAGTTAACTCAAGACCCTCTAAGTTCAGGTTCCCCTGATAAATTTGATCCCTCAGTGATGTTAGATAACGGATCTATCAGGGCCTCCCATATAAAACTGCTGTAGGTCGATGCTTTTGTCTTTCGTGCTGCAGTGACTCAGACCTCCGACATGCAGGCTGCAGGACCAAATTTGGACTCAGTTTTGCTCTGAGTAATCAAACACCAGCTCATCAAAGTCAGCGCGGTGGAAAAGATTGAAGATAGGAGTCTGTTTATGCCAGCTTCCTTCCTCCTGCAGCTCAGCGCTGCCTGAACGGGGGGAGTTCATAAATTATGAGCCGCAGATAATGGCCCCATTAGAGATCCACCAGGAAGGAATAAAGTTCTATAAATAAAAGAGGTGACACCAATAAAAATCATGAACGATTCACGCTTCAAGTCAGCGTCTTCTGCGTCTAAACTGCTCATTTTTCCAACAGCCTGTAAAACGTGCACGAACAGCAGCTATAAAATGAATCCTGGAGGTAAATATTGACCGACTTCTGTAAAGGCGGCCGTTCCTCTCAATAAATCTCTCCACTCACTTTCCCTCCTTCTCTGATCTCTGAACAGCAAATATGGCGTGGTCCTGTTCCAACAACGGAGCGGACAACGTCTCGTTTATCAGCTCAGAGTCAACAAGCCGGCTCTGCAGAGGTCAAGGGTTAACGCAGGGGTCATGGCTGAGTGCGCCAGGGTCAGTAAACCTCATATACTCATCTAGTCATACCTGAATACTTTTGATCCCAGCCTTGCAGTAGTACTTCTTGATGTCCACATCAATTTCTGTGTTTCCAACAAAACTAAAAAAAAAATATGGAAGCAGCAAAAAGCAGAGGATGGATAAATGTAAATGATGATGTTTGGTTTGAATCTTGGACTATTTGTAGGTTTGTACAGAATAAACAGAAGGAGTTTGTTTTCTGCAAATAAAACTAGAAGGTCTTAAAGATGCATTTGAGATTTTAATGAGATGTTTGAGGACGTGGGAGAGGTTTACCTGATCTGCAGGTCCATGATGACCTGCCTCTTGTCGACATGTTCTGTGTAAACTTTCACCCCGTTCACCCTCAGAGGCTGCAAACACACAAAAAAACAACGTTATCTTTAACTGAGCCAGACTTTACGCTGTGATCTGCACCGTTTATAACGTGTTGCACGTTTTAGTCCAAATTAATAGCATTTTTAACAACGATAAAGATTTTAATGTGCAAACGCTGCTTACAGTTTGCATTGTGGACTAATGTAACACGTTAGTTTGTAGAACTCAACGTTAGCTCGTGTACTGTGCAAAACGACAAATTAAATCTTTGCTACGTAAAATTTAAATGTAGGGTTTCCTCAAAACTTTAGCGTTTACACAGCTGTCCTTTCAGAGTAAACCAAAGGCTACGCAGAAAAATATATAAAATAATTTAAATCATATCAAACCTGCTCAGTTACAAACAGAATTTCTGTTTTGGTCCTTTTCTGCCTTTTTTTTTTTTTAGACCAACTCCTGAAATCCCTAAACGTTTCATTTGAAATATTACTGAAACTTACGAGAACACCTGATTTCTGATCGTCAGTGAGCGGGGACTTTTGGGGACTTCACGGCGGACATTTTCCCCTGCGTCCTTTGTTTGCTCGGGCGCCGTAAGAGGGAAACACGGAGAGGGAAGCGAGCCGGTGTTTTGTGCAGGACCCGCCAGAGACGCAGCAAACTCCCCCTCTCCCCTCGGTCCTGCTTTCGGGTGTTCAGTCTCTGAGGAATAACCTAAATGACCTGTGTGCACAGATTTATTGTGAGTGGGACACGAGGAGTTGTTGCGTCTTTGCCTTTATCGAATCGTGGCTGGAGCCGTCCATCCCTGGCAGTGCTGCGTCTCCGGACGACTTCTCTGTCTCTGCCGGCTCGACAGACCTGAGTCACGTCTGGAACAGCTAATATGTTTGATGTGGCTGCATCATGTGTGTCGCTGCCTTGTCATCGTGGTTCAGTTCATCTCAATGTTGCTCACTGCCTGTGCAGTGGACTGTCACACAACTTATGCATGTCATGTGCAACACGTATCATGTGCATTAGTGTTGCTGCCTGTGAGGCACTTGTTTGTACCGATTCATCCTACATGCACCGTCGTACTCTACCATGTTGTTGTTTACTAGATTTCTTTTTCACGCTTTATTTTGTACTTTTGTTGCATGCTTTGGTGTTTCTTTCTTCTATTTTTATTTTTTTGGCAAGTAAAGACGGTTCTTCTCATCCAGAGCATTTTATTACATTGTTGACCTTGCGTTGACCTGCTTATGACAAATAAACAACCTTCTTCTTCTTACGACTGTTCCCTCTTCAAGAGTCTCCACAGCGAGTCCTCATCTTCCATCTCACTCTGTCCTCACTCCAATTATCTTCACGTCCTCTCCAACTACATCCATATATCTCCTCTTTGTCTTTTCATGGGGCAGAGATGGGGTAGAGTCAGGGCAGCCGACTCGGGACCCGAAAGTCCCAGGTTCGATCCCCGATCATTGATCATCTTGTGGTGTTTCTGAGCAAGACACCCTATCCCCAATTGCTCCTTGGGCATCTTGAATAGCTGCCCACTGCTACACCTGAGTGTATCTCAGGTGCGATGGGGTAAATGCAGATAGCCAATTTCACCATTGTATGGGAACATGCAATGATGACGACCAATAACACATTATTATTATTATTTTTCCTGACAGCTGCGTTTTTAACATTCTTATGACAAATAAACAATAAACTATTGTTATGGACTTGTGATCAGGTTCTTAGTGTCCACTGTCCACTGATATTTGAGCAGACCATGTATCCATGATGAGGCAAATCGCCTTTAATTTAGAATGAATTACAAGTATAAATGCTTTTAATTCAAAGAGTAATATTTGGAGCCATGTTGAACGTTTTTTCCCTCGATTTAGAGGCTAAATGTAAAATAAACTCAACCTTTTAATGCACACATTCTAGAAACTGATACAAAAAAGCAGCAGGCCGGAGGACACGGGCGGCTGCGATCAGACTGATATTTCAGAGCATTTCGTCACCTTGTCGCCCATGTCGATCTTGGTGAAGCAGAAGGTGCTGAGATGGGGGTTGGCACCCTTCACGGCCGGCTCGATGGTCTCTCTGAACAGCTTGTCCACAAACTGGGAGATGAACGGCCACATCTGCTTCACCGTCTGACGGAGAGCAGAGACAAACGGAGACGACTGAGCGGAGCACATTTCACATCCATACCCAAAACGGCTTAGACCGCTGTAAACATCTGTTTACTGACGAGCTTAGGTGCACTGTTTAACACAATAAAACAGTTTATTTTGTTTAAAACCGATGTCTGAACGCTTAAAAAATGCCCGTTTTTCCAAATAAAAGGAGCCGAGTTAGTTTATGCATTTCTAGATAAACTGTTAACAGATGAACTGAATCAAACCATGAAGACTCGAAAACAAATAGAGAATAAAAACAGACACGAGCTGTTAAAACCTTTCAGCTGTTTCTAATCACAGCTCAGAGGCTATTTTCTCACCCAACTCCACTTGGCTGGCCTTTAATGTATAGAGCACACAAATGTGTTTTAAATTATTGATAATGTTTGCAAAGTCTCACAGCTATCCAGCTTAACGTTAAGAGGTTAGTCTTTGAGAGAAAACGTCATTTTCACCATTAAACGGCAGCTTTAGGATTCATTCACAGCATTTGCTGTTAGTTTGCAAAAGTCATTTTATTTGACACACAGACACAGATATTATTTACTTTGATGTCTACAGCCATTTCCTCTACTTTTACTTTTAAATAAAATGTTTGGTTGTTATTTTCCAAGAGTCACCGTATGGAAATGTTAAAAGAGAAAGAAAAAATATATTTAAAAAATATAAGAAAACAGTAGTAAAACGAATTACTAATGGAAAATAAGAGCATTTGAAACCATAAGATGTTGACAAAGTTATGAGTTTGTGTTTAGCATCATTAATGTGCAAATTCAAGAACCAGAAGAAGAAACATTTAACTTAAATACATAAAGTTTTTTATCTTAACCATTTAAAGAAGAACCACTGGAACATTTACAGCCTTAAAATTGAGGTAATGTCTCAGATCAAATCTCAGGAGGCCTCACTTCAACTCACACATGAAGTGATGAATTAAAATAGCACAGTAGTGCTGCTCTCAGCCACCTGCAAGCGCTCTTGGCCACGCCCACTTCTCCTCTCTGCACGAGAACAGCTGATCAGCTGCAGCAGGAAGTTTATCCTGCAGTGTGGGCTGCACAAAGATGCAGGAGGTGCTAAATAATGTAAAATAATTTATTTTAAATAAAAATTCCATGTCAATTGTGCGGCTCATCCATCAATCAGCCAATAGTGTGTCATGTCAAATCTTATTTTGAAAAACCGCGATAGAGCGAGTCCGCGACAAACGAACCGCAACGTAGCGAGGGACTACTGCCAACATTTGATGGTCAGAGCTTTAAGGTCTCCAACCAAGCAAGGATTTTATTTCCACTTTTAATAAGTGACATGGTCTCGGCCTCAATCCATTCCAAAAATAAAACAGACCCCTGGTGTCCTCAGGAGAACAGGGGTTAAATTATAGTATTCTTTAAAGCATCATGAATTCCTCTAATGGCCCCTAAATTTATACTCCGAGTACAACATTCATTATTTACGAACGCTCCAATGCTGCAAACATCACTTTGCATGTTCAGCTGATATTGTCTGGGTCAAACATATCGATTAACTCGATACTGGAAGTACCAGTAGACCTTTACAGGAAGTGAGGCTCTTCCCGGAGATGCTCAGACGCTCAGGTTTCTTTAGCGTTCTCTCTGAAGCTCCGTGTTTCTGTCTGCGGAGCTGGATCACCGAGACCAGGTCTCCCAGAGCTCCAAATCCAGGTCCTATTTATAAATCCTGCCTGCAGAGCTGACGGGCTTCTGCAGGTGATGAGGAGCGCGGGACCAGTTTTTGTGTTAGCAGGTCAGAGGAGGTGTGTGTGTGCACGTACCTTATTGAGCCACTCCACTCTCTCCACATCTGGATAATGGACCTGAAACCAAAGACAATGACAGAAGTTAGAATCATAATTTGAAATAAAGCAAACACTTCAGTAGATTTGTTGTATTAATTTCAAACAGAGTGTTTTTAGACGTTCTTGAGCACAAAGTGCTTCGTCTTTCAGCCGATCAACGACTCAGTGCCAAACGTTCAACTAATAACTCTTTGGTTATCACCTCGCTGAATCTAAAATACAGTTTTCTTGTGATTAAATTGTTATAATCATGATATTTTTCAGCTTAAAGAAATGGGAGGGAACTGTACATGTCAGAAAATTTTCTTATTACAGAAGCCGAAGGGAAAAAGGTTCAAGACAAGTTCTAGTTCTGGAGATTTTTCAAACACGTCCAAGAATCTTGCCGCATGAAAGCGAGGCTTTGCAACTCGCACGTGGACTTTGAGAACCCTCAAGGAGGTTTCAAGACATTTTCAAATGTCTGGCCTGGGGCCTGGAAAACCAGTCATCACGATCGCTGCTAAACGTTAGAAGAAAATCTGTTCAAATTGAAGGAAAATGTGAAGAAATTAAAGATGATTCGGGACTTGTGCAGACTGGCTTCTAAACCTGAACCGTTATGTAGAAAATTAAAAATATGTTAAATTTGTGGTATTTTGTTCCACACAGAGCTCGGAAACTGAGGCAGTATTGCTGGAGAAACATGACAGCTGCTGCATGAATCGTGTCTGCAGAAAGGCTTAACGTGTGTCATGTTGCCCAGAGACACACGAGACAGGAAACATACAGAATGACCCACGTGCACATGCATCCTGCACTAAATCGAGCCTCATACTGATGGCATCACTGTCACATGACGTGTTTTCTACCGACTGTTTACTGGTTTATGAAGGCTACCATCCTCTTCCAGAAGGTTTGATTATTTGACCCATTAAACACAGAAAAACAACATTCAAACCCTGGAAATGTCATGAAATGATGAGCAAAATACAAACAAATACACTAGATAAAGTGTTGCAGCAGTTATCAGAATAGTTAAAGATCTGTTGTCTTTTACTCTTTAGAAAATATTTCCATAAGAAAACCATGGAGAGCAGAAAAGTTCAACCCCAGACAAATAATCTTGGTTTGTCTACAGATTATAAATCAGGAAGTTGTTATTCCAAAAGGTCCCCTGAAATCAGAAGCGCTCACTTCGTTCCTGCACCTTTGGAAAGACGTCACACGAACCTGAACACAAGTGCAACAAGAGCTAAAGTAAGAAGAACCGAAACAGAATGATTAACGTGGGAAAAATACAGAAGTAATATGTGTAAAGTGAAACACTCACACGCAGAAAGATACAAATTAAACCAGTCTGTAATAAAAAAACTAAACAATGAACCCGTTTCTGGTTGTAATTAACTAAATGACTGCGTGAATTCTTCCTTTATGGTCTCTGGACTTTAACGATGAAGTGACAAAGCAAAGAAATTGACGCATTTCCTCCAAGAAACATGTTGCTCTTTATTTTCCAAGAAATAAAAAGAATCAGTGAAATGTCAAACCAACAAGAAACTTTCCCTTTTCAGTCCCTTGAGGCACAAATATCTCTTAATAAAATAACCAGGATGAAAAAAGGGGCAGAAAATGTCCTAAAAACAACGACATGTGCTCCAAATCCAAAGAATGTTGGGAACATCTGTTAGAAAGTTATTACAACTTAAAAAAACAGGCAAGTAACAAAAAAAAATTCATACTATGAAAGCTTGAAAAACAAACAAATAAAGGTAGAAGTTCAACTGGATTCATTTTAATCTTGGATAGAATAAAAAAAAGTGTGTTTTCAATCATGTGACTGATATGATTTAAATAATAGTTGGGACATGCAGCAGCTGCAGGCTGGTTATTATACGAGCGTGCACAGAGCAGAACACTACAAACATGTCGTGTTCTGCTCGAACAACGTCTTCCTGGATCATGTTTCGTCTGCCTGCAGTAAAAAACTTTCACCCAAAACAGAAAACGCCGTCACGTTCTGATGCACGGAGCCGCTCTCCATCTCCTGACCTCAACAGGAGCGTAACAGACTGGTTCCTTTGTGGAGCGGTTTTTTATTTTATTTCATTCATTCAACCTTTATTTATACAGGCTAGCCTCTCTGAGCCACGAGGACTCACAACATATAAACTACAAACGGATGATAAAGTACAGAATCAGTGAAAAATGACAGAAACCTGTTTTTGTTGCAGAAGTTTCTGGAGTTAATGAACTCTGGATCCAATTAGACTGAAGGTTTCCTTTTTTAATCAGTCGTTTTATTGTTTTGTTTTTTTAGTCAGAACACACACAAAACAAAGCAAAAAAAAAAAAAATACTTGTAGTAATACTTTTTTAACTTCCTATCCGATCCCAATACCCAAATCTGGATAACGGCCGGTACCGATCCAGTTCCGATATCATCATGATCATCATTGATTTTAAATGAGGCTGTAATAATCTCCTCTCAAGTACAATTTGTACAAATATATGCATGCATGTCCAAAAAGGCAATTAAGTTTTATTAATGTTAGATAAGTTTCAAAGTTAGAATTAAATTCTAACACAAAGCATGTTTGTTTTTTTTTATTCCTAGCTTTAAAGTGGATATTAAGGTGACTAATTTAAGTGACTGTTTAAATTTATTTTATATATTTTTTTAAATAAGGGGCAGATAAGATTTTTTTTTCTTCTTTCTTCGCTCTTTTTATTCATTTTTTTTTTCTTTTTGATGTTTTTGTTTATTTTATGAATGAATTAAATAATTTAGTATTTTACATTGTTTTATAACGTAGCTGTTTTTCCTTTTTTTAATATAATTTTCTTGTAATTTTCAAATCATATGTTTTTTTTATGATTGTCTACTGTTGTACTGATAAATATCTCCTGGAGGGTAAACTACATCTTGGCTGCAAGTATCAAGCTGTGAAATCCTTCGTTTTCTACAACTGACAGCGGTTGGTCATTAATTACGATGAAGTTTAGCAACTTCTCTGTAAACATTCGAGCTCCGTGGCTTCAGCGACGTCTTCTTCTCGTTCAATCCGAAGCAGGCGGCCTGATTTCAGTCGGCTGCGCTCAGTCTGCCCCTCCTCAGAGACGAGCGGAGTTAGCGATAATTTGTGCGATAACTTGCCTGATGCTAAAGCTCATCTATATGCTGATGATACAGTTATTTATTGTTCATCATCTTCGGTTTCACAATCCTTTAAACTGCTGCAATCTGCGTTTCATACTGTCCAGTCCCGTCTGGATGGGCTCAAGCTGGTTTTGAATGCAGAAAAATCAAAGGCTATGCTATTTTCAAATGGTAAGCAGCTCCCACCTATCCTCCCCAGCCTGTTAACTGTTCAAGGGGCTGAAATTGAAGTTGTCAGGTGCTACAAATATTTAGGTATTCTGATTGATGCGAATCTATCCTTTAAATCTCATATTGATAAACTGGTTTCTAAACTAAAACTTAAATTGGGTTTCTTTTTTAGAAACAAAAAGTGTTTCTCACACCAAGTCAGAAGGCACCTGATTGTTTCAACTATTCTGCCCCAGGTGGATTATGGAGATCTGCTATTTATGAACTCTTCAGCCCAGGTTTTGAAATAATTGGACGCTGTTTATCATTGAGCCATCAGTTTTATGACGGACTGTGTCTATCGAACACATCACTGCACTTTGTATGCTACAGCAAAATGTCCCTCTTTGACTGACCGCAGTCTTTCTCACTTGTTGGTTTTTGTCTATAAATGCATCCTTGTGCATCTTCCTACATATTTATGTTCACTTTTATCTAGAACTCTTAACCATTATAGTCTGCGCTCTCAGGACATCATTTTGATGCAGGTCCCAAAGGTCAGAACTGAACTGGGTAAAAAGGCTTTTAAATCTTTCGCCCCTGCCACTTGGAATATTCTGCAGAAGGATTTAACGTTATCATCTCTTATTACGTCGGGACAATTTAAATCAATTCTAAAGGAACGAGAGCTCACATCACTTGGCTCCTGTAACTGCTCTAACGAGTAATTATTGTGATTTCTCCTGGATATGTATTTTGTGTATTTGGTTTAGTATTTTGGATTTGTTGTATGTTTCATGCTGCTGTCTTCGCCAGGTCACTCTTGGAAAAGAGGTTTTTAATCTCAATGAGTTATTTTTCCTGGTTAAATAAAGGATACATACATACATACAGTCTGCCCCTCCTCAGAGACGAGCAGAGTTAGCGGAGCGGATTGGATGTGGCTGGCCGGGGTCGGGCTGCCTGCTTCGGGTTGAGCGAGAGGAACGCCCCGCTGAAGCCACGGAGCTCGAATGTCCAACGTAAAACTAACTTTACCGCGGTTGAATGTGGCGCTATGGCTCTGCAGACATTGCACGTTGCTGTCTTGCTTTGTGGTGTTTCTAGTGTAAAATACTTCCACACAGCGGACATGTTTAGATGAAAAGTTGGTTAGCCGTTAGCCACAGTGCTACTGCACGTTGTAGCTGGCTGCAAACTATGAAACGGATTTCCTGAATGTGAGGCGGGTCTTATTACTCTGGGTTCATGAGACACGCCTCCGTTCAGGAAATCCATTCCATAGTTTGAAGCCAACGTGCAGAGCAGCTGGCAGGGAATCATGAGAAGTTTCAACAGAGACAGACATGCACCATGGACTGGAAATCTCTGCAGGTTGGATTGGAAAAATCCGATACGTAAATTATGATGGTATCGGAGCCCTATGCTGATATCGGATCGGCCCCATCCCTAAACAGAATCCCCTCCCACCCTACCCTCCCATACTGGATCAGCCACACAGACATGAATACATCAGACAGGCATTGGTGAGATTCAGCAGCCAATCAGTGATCAGCAACATCTGCAGCATCACCGCTTGTATTCCAGATGGTGAGTCACTCCAGCTGTTTGGAAACACCTAACCCTTCTCTTCAGCCACGACCCCCCAAACAAACCTGACTTTTCCATCATCAGTCTAAAAAACTGGTGCCACAACCTGCTGTCTAAAAATCAACAGACTCCAAAGTGA